CGTCCCCCTCCCTCCCTCCCTCCATATACATGTGTATATATGTATATCTTTTGCATTTGGCAGAATTGGAAAATCAGAATTCTTCATGTGAATCAAATCACCATGAACAGGTGTTTTAAAGACATTTCTAGAACTAAAATCTAAGAATTCAGGGACAAGTGATCATCTCTACTTGTCTACAATTAGTGAGCTCTCTTTCACAATGAGGTCTCCTCGATTCTAAAATCAGTAGTAAAGAAAACAGAGATAAAGATATGCATGGAAAGATACATTGTTCTTTCCAGAAAACCTGTTATCTCTTAATTTATGAAGCAGATCTTTCAAATTGGTCATTATAAACTGTTTTTCCTTTAAGTACCCAGCCATCAGAACAGTGGAATTAGAACAGCATTTTACTTTATTTTATTTTATCCTCAGAGATAAAAATCAAAGTTGCACAGCATTGCTTTAATTGAATATACAATATGGAATTTTGTGACTATTCATAATAAAACCTCTAAACTTGTTCCTGAAAAACAGATATACCCAGGCCTGGTAGTGAACATTTTTACTCCCAGGACTCAGAAGGTAGAGGCAGGTGGATTTCTGTGAGATCAAGGCCAGTGTGCTCTGTATAGCAAGTTCCAGGCCACCTGGGGCTACAGGGAGACCCTATCTGAAAAAACGAATACAAATTTCCCAAACAAACAAAAAACCCACCACCCACCCCACAAAAACTGATATGGCCTCCCATTTATTATTTTTGAAAAAGCTGGGGACTATAGCCAAGCATGTTGAACATTTTAGCATACAAGATAACATTCAAGGAGTTTTTTTTTTTTTTTTTTAATTTGTTTTTTAAACTGGTCTCACTACATAGCCCTGGCTGGCCTGGAGCTATGTAATCAGACTGCGCTTGAATTCACAACGAAGGGGTGACTCTGCCTCCTGAGTGCTGGGATCAAAGGTATGAGCCACCACTCCAGACCTCAAAAGAGCTTTTGATGCTTCTTTTTAGATGATTCAGTTAAGTTTTTTAAAAACAATTTTAAGAAATAGAATTCCCTAAAGTGTCTTGTAGAATAAAGGTACAATTTGATAAACTTCCTACACTATAAATTTTAAGACGATGTAGTTTGGAATTGCATCCTCTCATGAAAAATAGGTGATGTATGTCATGTAACTCAGAAATCCATATTCATACATTCATTTGCTCTATGTAGTTCTATACAGGAACTATGAGAAAAGAGGTAATATGTTATTTTAAAACAAGAAGTCACCAACTCGAAGTGATATACAATTTATTTGGAGAAATAAATGTGAGGAGACCACATTACAAACAAAAATGATGTTTTAATTTACAGTTACGTTAGAAGACAACCACATTTAAACTAGTAAATTGTTGATCTATTTTCTATTTATGATGTGCTGTAAAAGCTAAAATATATGAATTAAAAGTTTTTTTTAATTGAGAAAATGTTTTTCTGTTTTTACTCACAAAAGTTTATAAGTAAGTGCATTTTATAGAATACAGCATACATTAAAAAATATTTTTATGTATATGAGTGTATTACATGCATGTGTATAATTGCATCCATGTCCTGCAATGGCTGTGAGGTCAGAAGAGGGTGTCGGATTCCCTGGAACTGCAGTTAAGGGCGGTTCGGAGCCACCATGTGGGTGCTGGGAATGAAACCCAGGTCCTCAACAAGAGCAGCCAGCGCACTTCTGCTGAGCCATCTCTCCAGCCCCGGGAGCATACATTTTAAAACAAGGTATAGGTGTCTAAACTGTCATAAAATATGGACTATGTTAGGTAAAAATGTGCTCATGCATTTCTATAATGTCTGAAGGCCTCCAATTTTAAGAAGACAAACATGGCATCAAGTGCCCAGAGAAAAAGGATGAGTCCTAAGCCAGAACTTACTGAAGAACAGAAACAGGAAATCCGGGAAGCTTTTGATCTCTTTGATGCTGATGGAACTGGGACTATAGACGTCAAGGAACTCAAGGCAAGCTGTGCGCGTTCCTGCTATGTCACCTTGCTTTTCTTCTCCCTGTTCCTTGTCTTTCACCTGCTACTTCTTTATCCTCTTCCTGTGAAAAGTAACAGGGAAGGATGCACTGTGTGTTCTTTACCTGTAACAATGATCTAATTGATAATGTTGATTGCAAATATCAGTTAAATTAGAACTCCAGGGTTCCCCAGTCATTCGTATACCATTTAATCCAATGCTGGGTTAATATCCTTGACAGACATTTTTATTGCTACCTCATTTGCATGTGTTTATTGAGATGATCCTGTTTTCGTTGTAGGTGGCAATGAGGGCCCTGGGGTTTGAACCCAAGAAAGAAGAAATCAAGAAAATGATAAACGAAATTGACAAGGAAGGGACAGGAAAAATGAACTTTAGTGACTTTTTGACAGTGATGACTCAGAAAATGGTAAGTTGGCTGAGGTAATCAGCATATTTCCATCCATGATGATAGATACAATGGAATCAAGATATAAAAATAACTTCATTCAAATAAAATCTGTACAGGTGGCCTGACAGAGAACCATATTGTCAACTAAAAGGATGCTTAAGTTCTATTTGGCTTCCTTTAAGTTCACAACATTACGGAAATTGTTTTACCGTGTCTAATGTATCTTCATGATAATCATAAGGAATTAAACCTGTAAACACAGTGGTTTGCAGATACGTCTCATTTTACTTTATTTTAATACTATTACAATTACTAGTTAGCATACAAGGTATCATATATCAGGGCATTTTCAGACCAGTGCTTCTCATGCTGACAATTCATTATCGAAAACTGGAGACACAACAGTTCTAAGCTTTAAACAGGGAGGATTTTTTGGTACTTCTAAGGTTGCCTTCATCTACTCTCTAGATCTTCAGACCCCTTTTAACGGGGCTAAAAGTTTGCAAGAATATAAAGCTGTCACCCCCAACAGATCTGACTCTTGGGTGTGGCTTACCTTTGCCCATTATATACCTGTATAAAGATCGGCCCCTCAAGATCCTCAAAGTGTTTCACAGAGCACAGGTTATACCTCTTTAACAGTGGAGTTGCTTAGAAATTGTCATACCTCCATCTTTCTTTGTGGAGAAAGAGAGAGCAGGAAGCTTACCATTCTGCCACCACCTAGTAAAGGTATTTCACACTCAAGATTGCTTCCTAGATTGCTGTTCTTGGGGGTTCTCTCCACGTTTAGTTCCTGGCATGCACCTTTCAGAACTTCTCGACATTTGAGAACTTTGTGAGATTTTACTCTCTCCTTCTCCTCTGCCCCCACCAGAGAGGTTCCATCTTTTATCAGCCTAAGCAATATGCTTTCCCTAATTATAACTTATTGCCCTCCTTCTGTATTTTAAAAATTAATCTTGTCTTTCTTTGGCTTGTACAGTGTTTTAGATAAAATTACATTTCTTTTTAACCCCTGGGTTTCTGATTTTATTGAGTTCCTTCTCCTTTTCTACACTGGATCATACTTGTTTTCCTGTGACATAGGGCCTGTGTCATGGTGCCCATCACTGGGACCTGTTAGGATGTGAGGCCGGGGAGGGGTCCAGGAGTTAACCTAAGAAGATAGGTCTTCTACGAGTCTCTTTGGCTTCAGGTCTGGTGAAAGTTTTACATGAGAAAGAACAAGAGGGGCAATTAGAAAGAACCTGGTAATACCCAATGTTGCATGTTGGAAAACTAAGCCCCAGCTTCACTTAGAGGCCCTCAGATTCTGCCTGTGAAAAACAGGATGTGGGCTGTCCAGCTGCACCAGGTGTCCTATCCTCCCTATGTGGTTCTTTGCCCTGTCTCCAAACAAGTCTTCATGCCTGTTCTCTAAGACTTCTTGGCTTTTCCACCAAGCAGATATCTCTCCCCATTGAATTCTGAGCCAGTTATGAAATAGCTAATGGGCTAGGAAGTCGATGGGGAGGACATGGCAGTGTGGATTGGAGAACCTAGCTCCCTTGGCTTCTTAACGCTACTCAAGTCAGGATGGTATGAACATGAACAAGAGGGTAACCAGAAAGCGGGAGGGCTGCAAAACATCGTAACTGTGCATTTTATGTTCCACTAAAGTCTGAGAAAGATACCAAAGAAGAAATCCTGAAGGCCTTCAAGCTCTTCGATGATGATGAAACTGGGAAGATTTCATTCAAAAATCTAAAGCGGGTGGCCAAGGAGTTGGGCGAGACCCTGACTGATGAGGAGCTGCAGGTGAGTAAGGCCCTGTTGGAAAGTCTGCTTCCTACCTTGGAGCCCTCTAGCCCCTCTGAGCTCTGTTTTCTCTGGTAGGAAGACCTCTTGGGAGGAAAGCTAGTGTTGTCTCGTCCCTCTGGTGATGAGCTAGTGCTCTTTTGTGAGCCTAACAGGCCTGTGGCTCCTGTTTCCAGGAAAGTTCACATGTGCAGTGAAAGTTGCTCTTTAGGTTTCTGGATCATTCCAGTCACGGTGATCTCCAGCTCTTTTTTGCTTGATACGTATGATAAGTGACTTGGTTTTCAAATAACTTCAGAAACCAAGCTGTCATAAACAGTGGCATACTCAACTTAGGTGACTGCATTCATCTTTCCAAATAGCATTATCCGAAACTTCTCACTGAATCCTTTTGCAATTTATTTATGACTTAATCTGAGATGAGTCCTTAACTGCCACACAGGAGATGATTGATGAAGCTGATCGAGATGGAGATGGAGAGGTCAATGAGCAAGAGTTCCTGCGCATCATGAAGAAGACCAGCCTCTATTGAGATCAATGTTCTTTTTCTACTGCAAGCACATGTGACTAGATTTAGTGCCTACTATTGTGTGAAATCTGGCTTTTGAGAACACAAATCTTTCCTCCCCTCAAGACTTCCCGGGGAACTTTACCCATGACCTTGAATCTATTTGTGATGTTTTGAATGAAAATGTCCCCCATAGGCTCCAAGTATTTGTACATTTTGTCCCCACATGGTGGCACTGTTTTGGGAGGTTTTAGAAGGTGTGGCTGTCCTGGAGGAAGCACGTCACTGGGGTGGGCTTAGAGAGTTCTTAAGCCTTGCCGGATCTCCAGTCACTCTCTTGCTTCCTATGCCTGTGTGGTGATGTGAGAACTTAGCTTCTGCTGCTCCTGCTCCAGCCACCTCCAGCCACCATGCCTCCCCGCCATGACGGACTGTAATTCCCCTGGAACCATAAGCTCAAATAAACTCTTCCTTTTATAAGTTGTTTTGGTCAGTGTTTCTATCACAGCAACAGAAAAGTGACTAATACACTATTTTGACTTTTGGATATTAAGTTCTTTGTACAATTATCTGCTGATCAATTCAGAAAAGAGCACATTATATTAGAGGAGAAGGGTCTTAAAGCGTGCCTGCTGACCACCTCACCTTGCATTCCTTCACACTGGTCATGCATTTCCACACTCATGCAGACAGAGTGTGACTTCTTAGACGTCCCTGTACCCAGGTCACCATAAGCAGTGATCATTTGTCAGTGATCTGCTTTTTCGCTGATACCCAAGTACAGTTTTGTTTTCTAAAACCCAAGGAATGCTTCCTGTGGCATTTGGACATGTGCTAGCACATTTGTCTTAAAACTTTTCTTAGTTTAAGCTCTTGTTTGCTAACAGATGAATTTTTTAAAGGCTTGACTAAATTTTTTGTTTATCAGGCTGCCCTCTATGCAACTGTAAACAGCCTGGTAGATAAAAAACAAAACAAAACAAAACAAAACAAAACAAAACCTTGCCAACTGCCTGTGGACAAAAAATGAAATAATCCTTTGCTACTTTTCTGCTATGAATGTTTCCCTGTCTTCAGAACTTTTGGGTTTATAAAACTAATAGAATTTCCATGTCATCCAATCATAAATGATGCCCTAAAAGTAGTCCTGGCAAAATATAAGGCACAGAATTTTGTGGCTACTTGGTACTTAGACAAGATGGAGAAGGCCAGGCAATTGTGAGAGTTCATTTACTTATAGCACCTTATAGATTCTTGTGGTTGGGTTGAGAAGGAAAGGGACCTTTTCCAGGTGCCCTCTCAGCCCTGCACATGGGTACCTACAGGAGAAGCCCCAGTAACTGGCATTAGAGTCTGTTACATGGTGAGGGTGGGGTGAAGGGAAATGGAAAATGAACAATAGAAAACTTACTGATCTATGCACAAGATAGAAAGAATGGAGTTTCAAACTTCTGGGGGACATCCTAGTCTTCTGGGGGGCATCCTAGTTTCCTGGGGATTAAAAAGGCAGCAACTAGAGCCAGGCATGGAGTTTATGTCTGTAATCCCAGCCCTTAGTTGACTGAGGCAAAAGGATTGCTGGAGTTCAAGGCATAAGTAAGTAGGCTACATGGTGAGCTCCAGGTCATTCTGGGATATAAAGTGAGACCCTGTCTCAGAAAAGCAAAGGAAAACAACTGGATTGATTTGAATCAGGTCAACAATGAGTTATATACACGCAATGTTTTTGTTTAATAAGTTTTTTAAAATTCCATTAGACGTTTTGTTGCTTTTTGATTTGATATTCAACTTATGTACCATCTTGTATTTTCAACTGAGACCCTGTTAAAAAATGTGCTCCCGGCCCTCAATGCTGAGATCTGGCATTCTGGAAAACCCAGGAATGAGTGAGGGGTCACTGGGGAACAGAGAGGGAGAAAAAGAGTCAAGAGAGACCTCAGACTTAGGTTATCGCATGGGTTCAGCTTACTTCCTGGATGGACAATTTGGGGGAAGCTGCTTCCCTGGCTGCCTCAGATACCTTGTCTACAATGGGAGATCTGTGTTTAACAGAATTTCTGGGGATCTTGCTTTAAGGTGTTCAAGAATGACATGTTTCAGAATGACCTCCTTCGTTGTGGCTTATTCACTTCCACCATGTGGGTCCCAGGAAATGAACTCAGGTTGTCAGGCTTGGTGGCAGGCACCTGTGCCCGCTGAGCCATCTCACCAACCTCTCTCGCTTTTTAATTTCTGAAGCTACCACTTACCAAATATAGGTTACTATAGTGTCCCTTTAACTGGGTTCTCTGTCCTGTCTTTTCCCAAGACCTTATTCTCATGCTATTGTCTTGCTCAGCAAAGGCCTTTAGATTGACTTCCACCTGCTTCAAATTATGGCTCTACTCAGCCATAATTTGGGTATAAGACTTAACCTTCTTTAGCCCCACTTTGCTCATCCAGAAAATGGGCATGCCGTGAGAACAAAGGGAGCTGACAGATGTCTATCTACTTCCTACCTAGCAAAGTGCCTCAAACTTGGTGGGCACAGTGGATGAAGGCCCTACCTTCAGCCTTCACCAGATCAGTGAAGTCCTGATGATCACTGTCCATTAGCCTCTTTTCTGTTTTGCCCTAATTTGGATGCTCTATCCCTTAGTAAGAGCCTACTGTTCCAATGGAAATATCTCCATTTCCATCCCCCAAACCTTCATCTTTCTCCTTATTAAACTCTTCAGAGCTCCCTTCTTCCAGAAAACTTTGTTTTTCTTGTTTGTGGGTCCTAGCTATGAGGTTTTTAAAAATATTTTATTTTATGTGTATGCATGTATTGCCTGCATGTAGGTAAGTGTACCAGTGTCGTGCAATGCCCGTGGAGGACAGAAGAGGCTGTCGGATCCCCTGGAACAGGAATTATGGGCAGGACAGTTGTTAGCTGCCGTGCGGGTGCTGGGATTCGAACCTGGGTCTTCTGCAAGAACAGCCAGTGTTCTTTTTTTTAACATTTTATTTATTATTTTTATTTTATGTGTATGCGTGTATTGCCTGCATGTAGGTAAGTGCACCCGTGTTGTGCAATGCTCGCGGAGGTCAGAAGAGGCTGTCGGATCCCCTGGAACTCGAGTTACAGACAGTTATTAGCTGCCATGTCGGTGCTGGGATTCGAACCTGGGTTTTGTACAAGAACAGACAATGTTCTTAACTGATGAGTCATCTCTCCATCCCCAGCTATGAATTTTTTAAATTGAATTTTTGCGATTTTCATACAGTGTAGTTTGATGGTTCTTTCCACCCCGATTAATGGAAGACAGCAGTCTTGCAAATACTTCTCCAGCCACTAGATGGAGATCCAGGACAGAAAGGCCAACCTAGTCACCTCAGCACTGGTTGCAATTCCAGCTGTAGCTTCCCAGTGCCCAAACAGCCTTGAAACATGATGGGAGGGTGCCAAGAGTGGTGGTAAGGATCCTGGTGGGACTGGGGACCCCTCAGAAAGGCTACCAGGCGTGGGCACTGACTGATGAAATGATAGCTCATTTGGATGGATGCCCTACTGAGTCTAATTAAAAGAGAATACAATGACAGCTTTGCATTCTGAGTGGGGGCAATCAGAATTGTTTACCTGCTACATGGCTTATTGAGATTCCCCAACTAGACCGAGCATGGCTCAGGGGAGGGCACAGATGTGCCTTTGGTTTCGCCACAGCCTTGCTTGTGACTTGTGCAATGCTCCATCCATAGTCAGGCTTAGTCTTTGGGTCACAAAGCACAGATTTACTAACTCATTAAAATTTTCTAGCCTTCTGTGGCTGTTTTTCTGACCGTTATTCCTCAATGTTGGTCTTGTAACTTACACCAGAATGTAGCTTCTTTGTAGATCAGGTCTTCATAGGGGTAATAAGATGAGGTCATCTAAGTGAGCACACATCCAATACGACAGATTCTCTTATAGGAAAGGGACATTTGGACACAGAGAACCCCATAGAGGGAAATGATATTACAGAATGTGGCCCTCTGAGCAAAACAGTCTCCGTCAGATCAGCTGTGCTTGCTTGCAAAGGGCCCTCATAGTCAGGTGTGTTGACTATTGACACCCTTCTCTAGAAGGGGCAGGGACTCTCACCCAAGACTCCACTGGCTCCTTTTAGCCATTTGTATGCAATTCTGCCCTAATTGCACGTGGCCTCTGTCTGGGGAGGGGCTAAAGTATGCAGATTGGGGAAGTTTAACAGAATGGGCTTTGATCTAAGCAACTATGGGGAACCATCATCCATGCTGAGCGAAAACTTTCTACTGCTATGGTTTTGAGGTCACCCACGCTCCTGCCAGTAACTCCTCACTCTTTCTCTGTAAGGAAGCCCAATGAACTTGGTCTTCCCCAGGGTGGATGTTGTTGGCGGAATCGTACTTTGTCTTTGGCTCCTTATAAGGAAGGGCTAGACTTTGTTTCCATTTCTCTAGGGAAGGAATTCTCAGAGCAGATGTAAACAGGCACAGGGAGAAGATGACAGGGATGCCCACAGCCACTGAGGACAGCTGCAGCCTTTCCTTCCCCCATAGCCTTAGAAGAAACCACCATTGCCGATACCCAGTTCTCCAAAACTGTGAGGAAACACGTTTCTCTTGCTGAAGCCTCTGGTTCTGGTACTCGGCTCCCACATCCCCAGCAAAACACATGTACCTTCTACTGGAAACCTTCCTCTGCTTGAAGTGCTCTGCCAGAGTACATACAGCAATGTCAAGGAAACAAATCTTGAACTTGGAACCTCTGCTGAGTGCTCATTGATCTGTGGACACCAGGTGAAGCCTGCCCTGAAGAGAACCGTGAGTACTGCTGCTCTAAAGCTTTTCCCTCAACTTGGAGTATGAGCTTAGATATGTATGGGCTGGCATTCTCCTTGTGAGGGGAGATGGTCAGTGTGGGAAAATACTGGTCATCCCTCATACAAATATGTCCAAATGGTAGATCAGTGATCACAAATGAGTTGGCCAGCCAAGACGTGTTAACAGAGCCTCTGGATGGCCTTGGTAATAGATTTGCTGTTTCAACCTGCAACATAACATTTTAACAGAAATGCTTTCAGAAGGAACCTAGCTAAGCTGGGTATGCTGGATAGCTTTAGTGTCAACTTGACACACCTGGGTTGAGGGAGCCTCAATCGGGGAATTGCCTCTATTGGACTGGCCTGTGGCC